GGGGGGGGGGGGGGCGAGGAGGGGAAGAAGGACAGGGGTGTTGAAGGGTGGGGGCAGGTGGGAAGGAATTGGGGGTGCTGCCACCCAAGGGGGGCTAGGGACAAACTCCTTATCCTGTGGGCCCAGCACCTCTCCACATTCCCACCTGGAGCCTTGCTTCCTTCCTCTGCCTTTTATTCCTGATTTCTTCCCACTGTCGGCCCTCCCGTGTGCCTCACCCTTTCCTTGTTGCTGTCACTGCTTGCAGAGTGAGTGCTGCATGGTGGCCTCCAGGGAGGTGGCCCCCGTCCTCCTGGTGCCATCGGCAGGCTCTAAGTCTCCACTCATCAGTGTCAGTGTTGCAGCATGATTAGCGGTCATCGGGCTTGCCTATTTGCGTGATTAGTGATCATCGGGCTTGTCTATTTGCGTGGCTGTTCTGCTTACCAGGTGGTTGCCATCCTTACGATGCCCACTGGGAGTGGGGGACTTCTCTAAGAGTCTATAAGCAAGTGAAGTGGCAACATGGACAGGAGGAGACTGGAGGTGCATAGAGGCAGGTCCGGAGGAGACTCGCCTTCCTCTGGCCTGGCCTGCTTAGCTTTGTGGTAGAAGAAAGCAGGGCTCTGGCTGGGCCCTGTCAGGTGAACCCAGGCCCAATCGTATACACTGAAAGCAGGTTACACATTAGAGAGCAATCGAGAAGGAGAGCAGGGGGTGGGGTGACACCCCTGAGGCCCCCTCACCTCAGCCGCTCCTCTCTCGTTTCCCGGTCCTTGTGGGCGCACCTGGGCTCTCGGCCACAGCCCAGAGGTGAGGGACGTGGCCTTCCCGGGATTCCTCTTTGGGAATTGGTTCTATTCTTTGTCAGCACCAAGTGCTTGTGGGAGAGAGTGCCTGTGCCAGGGCGCCGTCTTCTCGGGCCGGGCCCTGGGCTGGAGATGTCATAGGTACCAACCCCAGTCTCTCCCCGCTGCCACCATGACCCGCTTTCCCCAAACGCAGAGCCAGCCCCAGGGACGCCGGCTCAGAATCACTTTCTCATCAGGCCAAGGACTTTTCAGAGTTGCTGTGTTTTCTCTATCATTTCCTCCCCCCACACTTCCTGTTTTTTTCTTCCTCTTTCTCCACCCCCACCCCATCTCTCAGCCCTGTCCCTGGTTGCCTGAGAACAGGAACAAGCGTGGCGCGTTGATAATCGTGATTTCCTGACCTACGGGCCCTCTGTCTGCTGCTCAGAGCTGGAGCCAGAGGGCCCAGCCTCTCCGGGCACGTGAACCCCGACGGGGAGCAGGCAGGAAGCCGGGGCCCCAGAGCACGGTCTGAAAGAGAATCTCCTAAAACTAATTCTTCATGTTCTTGCAGCAATTTACAGCTTCCAAATTATATCCTCCTGCTTTTGAACTAAAACACTGCAGAACTCCCAGTGTTTTGGCCGAGTAAATACAGTCAAGTGTCGATGGGCACAGCCTAGGTGTGGGAGGGAGACAGGAGTTTATTAATGATTCTGCACCATGTTCTCCTCGTGATTCTGAGGGTCTTTCCAGCTCTCTGAAGTTAGGTTCCCTGACCCTTTGGGAAAATGAAGTCGACGGTATTCTTGAGGACAGATTAGGGAAATACATCTGTGAGATTCACATGGTGCGCCTGGCCGATGCTATTTGCTTAACAAATGCAAGCTCCCTTTTTTGGTTTTGGTTTTCTGCACAGGGAAATGGCTCTTCAGAAGTACAGTAGCCAGAAAAATTACCTAATCAGTGATGCCCATGGGGGAGAGTCCATGGCTGTTGCTGTCTTCCTGAAACAGGGAGAGTGAGAGTGAGAGCGAGAGCGAGAGAGAGAGTGAGAGAGAGAGAGAGAGAGAGAGAGAGAAGCAGATAATGAATGACAAAGAGATAGATAGAAACAGAGAGAGAGAGGGGGCAGACAGAGCAAGAGAGAGGGGAGAGCAGAGAGAGACCCACTGAGAGACCTCCGGGCTGGGTGCTCACATGCCCATCCCTGGATAACAAAGCCTGCCCGCCACTGGGCCCCTGGGGCACGCTGTTCCATCACAATATTTTTCTAAGGGAAACAGGGAGAGCCACCCCGACCACATGCCTGACGTGGACTGTTTTACTAATTTAGCTCCCAGGGTAAAGCTGCAAAAACAACACCAACAGCAATCTGGAAAACGTGCCACCTCCCTTTTTGAAAATCTGTTTTTTTAAAAAAAAGGGGGGCTTTGCATTCAGGGTCAATGACCAGTTGTTTGAGGAGTCAGCCAGACCATGTGGCTGCTTTTTAAAAAATTCCAAAGGCCAGAGAGTCCAAGACACGTTCTCCTCTGGGTTCCTTGTCCAAGTCGCGGAACCTCGAGCGAGGCTTCTCTGAGCCTCAATCTTCTCAACCACCAAACGAAAGCATGAAGCAGGTTTACCGTGGATTTCTCTCAGCCTGGGAATCTGAGATTCGGGGATTCTCTGCTCTCCTTAAAAAAAAAAAAGTATTGTTATTGGAGGAGAACAGGAAATGGCCTCTCAGTAACATGACTTGCATTCCTTTTAGCAGATTATCACTCACTTAAGGACAGAGAAACCACCAGACTCAAGGGGGCCGTATCCCTGACCGGGACCGGACTTGTCTTGGCCGAGGGCTCCTCCGCTGGTCCGTCCCATCAACCTGGATTGGTGAACCTGACTCCCAAGAGCCCTCTCCAGGTAAGAAACGGCTGACGGGTGGCAGCAGGCTGCTCAGTGACGCCCAGCACTTTCTGCGTGGGGATGTGATCTGCATGCCTAGAGAGTACATATGGGAAAGTGTTACGGAGGGTCGTGTTTTTCATCTAGATAGCGTGAGTTTCCTTGAAAACTGAAGCCAGAGCATTTCATAAAGCTGAGCACGGTATAGAAGGTGAGACCTGGTGATTTCCAAGGTATTTTCCAATCCTGCGGTCCCAGCGGCCTTTATCCCACAGTGCTCCGCTGGGAGTCTCACTCGCTGGGGAACGAGGTGTACCGGGTGCTCCCTTTCTTCTTCCTGTGGTTCCTCTTCCCCGTGGGGCTCCCTGAGAGCGCGCCTAACTCAGAAGAAGGAGGCGAGTTTCGGAATGAGGCGGACCTGACTTGGAATTTCAGTTCTGCTATTTATGAGCTGACTGGTTTTGCCCGCATCGTTTTAAATCCCCAACTTTCTGTTTCCCCATCTGTGGGATGGGACAGTGCAGTCTCATCTGTAGACTTACGGTGACAATCAGAGGACATAATGTGCTAGCTTTGTTTCTTTCTTATATTAGACCTCAAAAAAGGTTAGCTTCTCTCCCCGTCCAGCCTTACTTTGAACTGTTAAAATATCGCTTTTCTCCTCCATTGGGTTCAATGTGGGCCTTGGGCCTTGGTTTTTGTTTTCAAAGAGCCTCAAGGTATCTAAAAAAAGAAGGAGAACTTTAGGAGAGAGGACAGCACAGGGACACCAGCAACCAGTGCATCCAGGGGCGGGCCTTGTGCGCACACACCGGAAGTCCCAAGCAGTTACAGAAGAGAGAGGCTGTTACCAGGCTTTTGATTTCAGAGCTTGTCCTCCATAGCAGCCCTCCCTCGCCTCGGCTCTGGCCGGAGTGCCCTTGCAGCCCAGCCATGGGGATGGCGTGCTCTGTTACACCCAACGTCGGGGCCCGCTCCTCTCCCAGCCTCTTGGCCCATCCTTTGTCACTCAAGGTATTAGGTGAAAACCAACTCCCTTCCCGCAGCCCCTTTCCTGTTAGACCAGCAGGGTCTCAAGACCCCGGGGAAGAGCCTGACAACTGGTATCAGTTAATCTGGGGGCGGGCCTCCTGGCCTGGCGCTCAGCAGGAATTCGCTTCAAGGATGTGTTCCTCCAGGGCCATGACATGGGCTTTCTCCTGTGTCTGTTAGCTCTGTGGGACATTCATTCATGCAGCCATCCGTGCATCCCACAGACGTTTATGGAGCACAGGCTACTCAGCAGGCATCCTTGGTGGGGGGTACAGCACGGAACAAAACCAAGTTGCTGTCTCATGGAGCTTGCATCCCAGTCAGATCAAGGGATTGTCAACAGGGAAACAGGCACACTTACATTATATCAGGCAGTATTAAGTGCTACGTAAAAAAATAAGTCTGTTCACGCCAGAGAGCTGGAAAGTTGGGAGAGCGGATTCCTCTTCTCTAAGGCACAAGGGAAGCCTCCCTGGTCTGGCGTTATCTGAGGGGGACCTGAGCAAAGTGAGAGAAGGGGGCATCTCCAAGGCCCCATCCCTAAAGCATTCTCAGTAGAAATAAGGGTGGAAGTTCTTTTCTCACAGAGTTTTAGTTACTGAGACTCTAGAGATGAATGAGACTTGGTGCCACGCAAGGGGCCCGTGGCCTGGCGCTCGGACAGAGCTGCTTGGGGAAGTGGCGTTGGTAAATGGGGTTGAAGGGAGCAGCTGTCCTGATTTGGTCGTTGTGAAACAGATTTGCTAGAGTGGGAATTTTCCATTGGAACCTCCCCCTGGTCACTGCTACCAATTCTCTTGGAATTCGTTCACCTAGACCATTGCCAAGTCTTGGCTTCAGGGGAGAGGGCGGATCAGTTCATTCAGCAAACATTCGAGTGCCTCTTGCATGCCAGCGCCAGTGCTAGACATCAGGGGTCGGTGGTGATTAGATTCAGCCCCTGCCCTCGAGTTGTTTGCGGTTTTATTGGGAGACCTACGAGTGACTAGACAACACACACTTGCCAGCATTGTGTACGAGTGGGTGTGCGGGAGCCCAGAGGAGGGGTCTCTGACCCACTGAGGTGCAGAACCCGGGAAGCTGCCCAGAGACACGCTACCTCCACTCAGTCCTAGACTTGAGGGCTCATCAGGCAGCTGAACAGCAGGGAGGGTGGGACCTTTAGGGTGGGGCATGTGGGCAGAGGGGAGGCATACCCAAGGCTGCCCCTGGGAGGCCCTGTGCGCAGCGCCATTCACTGTAGCTGTAGAATGTGAGGTGACTCTGAGAGACTGGGGGACTCGTGTGGAGTGAGAAGCTGGAACCTTGAATGTCAGGCCAAGAGGATGAGTATGTCCTGAGGACAGCTCGGCGCTGTGAACCGTTCTTCAAGCAAAGATTGATGGGCGGCTAAGGTTGGAGTTTTATGAAGCAAAGGGTCTAATTTTCTTTGACCCCCAGTTCCTTCAAGGGCTTATGTCACACCCATTCCTCCTAATGTTATAAGACCACGGTTTCCTCGGCTGTCAAGTAGGTGAATACAGACGGGCTGGGAGGACATGGATCTAGGGCACTTCCAGCACTGAGTGCCCCCATGAATGTTCACTGCGGACAATGCTTCACGGACAGTCTTGGTACTAAATTGCTGGGAGATGGTTGGAACACGAGCCTCGTTTCTGATGGGAGAGAGTGGCTGACAAAAGGCCATGCTGTTCTAGTAGAAACCATGGAATGTAGGTCTCGATGTGTTTTCTCCCGGTCAGAAAACGGATGGGTAATAGCCACCTCTTAACCCTCTCTCTGCTGAATACTGAAGTGAGAGTGTTCTCTTCAGAAATGAGTGGACTCATTAGGTAGAGAGTACCCAAGTACCTGCCTCAGGCCAGACACTGTGTGAGGCCTTGGAACATCAAGACACAAACGTGGGCAGCCCCTCGAGGAGTGCATTAGCTCGTCGGGGCAGGAAGGAGCCGAAGTCACAGGAGCAGACGGTGAGCAAGGGTTTGGGCCTGAACAAAGTGATGTGGATGCAGCGAAGGAGCATGCGCTCTGCCCAGGGAAGTCAGGGACGGCTTCCAAGAGGGGCTGATGAGCTGGGCATTGAAGGATGATTAGGAGTTGGGATCTGGAAGAGAGATGTTCGCAGTACAAACAAGGGCCAACACTCACTTCTCTGTGATGCTGGTGGGGAGGAAAGAGCCAGAGTGACTGTGGTGCACAGATAATGCCTCCACTCTGCCTTTGAAAAACCCATTAGTAGCCACCCCCTCATGTTCCCGCCTTGTTCCCAACAGGGACTAAAAATAGTTAAATTAACTCATTTGAGTTGATCTCTGACCCCTTGGAGGTGTGAATGAGCAGAAAAGGATAAAGGGGACCAAGAAAAAAGTGGCGAGAAAAGGAGGAGAAACCCATCATCATCCCGAAAGAGAGGAACTGCCTGATGGTGGTGTTTCGGTTTTGGTGCAGAAGGTTAGCTGTGCGTTAAGACTTGTTGGTGTGAAATGCCTGCGGGCACCACGTGCAGATCCCTCCACTTGGCCCAGCGCTGGTGTCGGGGGAGGCAGAGGGCTCAGGACACGGACATGGAGGCCCCCATGTCAGGACAGGGCTGCTCTGGGTGAGTGAGTGAGCACAGGCCCCTCTGTGTGCTGCCTGGGAGCCTGGCCTGGCCTCAGCCTCTTGAAGGCCCACAAAGACTTGTTTGTTCTCCCCTGACATCAGCCTGGCCCTCAGGATCTCTCTGTCCTTCTGGGGCAAGATCTCACAGAGAGATAATAGAGTGAAAGGGAAGAGGGGATCAAGTGAAGGCTGGCTCCGCGTCACCATGCCAACCAGAGTGGAGGCTAGAGACATGGTGCCTGCCCCAAGCGCCTACCCACCCGCCAGGCCACACCCACCAGGCCACACCTGCCAGGTCACATCCACCAGGCCCCACCCACCAGGCCACACCCAGGACAGCCCCAGGCTGCTGAGCTGCTGGTCCGACCAAAATAGAAGCTACTGGCATTGGTCCCGAGAGACGCTAGCTGTCTGGTCAATCATGGACAATACATTAGAGGGTGACATTAGTCCTAGCTGCATACAGCGGGTTGATTGTTTAAGTAAGCAAGTATTGCATTTAAACACCTGGGTTTTCTATTTTAGCAAAGACTTATAGAGAGAGTTTGGCCTCAGAAGTTTCACAAAAGCTCACTGTTTAGAGGGCTCTGTGAGAGGGTCTGGTCTAGCTTCTGTCTGATCCCTTTTTCGGGTGCGTAAACGGAGGCCAGGAGAGTGGGAGGCGGAGCTGGAAGTGGAAAGAGGGAAGACGTTATAGCCACATAACCCCGGGCTCCAGGGTGGGAACATGTATGGAAGGCACTCAGCACACACCTGGCCCACAGCGGGGGCTCGGCCCGCGCTCCTCCTGGTTGCTTTATGAACTTCCATTTGTGCTGTTCAATGAATGAGCTCCCTCCTGAGGCAAAATGCATGTTAAGCCAGGACAAGAGAACTCCTGGTTTTCTTCATCCTAAACCGACCAGCCCTAAAACAACCTTCTAGTTATAGACAGGATGGAAAGGGAATTTGACATTGAAACTTCAATGCTTAGTCTCAGAACTTCCGGCCAAGGGCAGACTAGTCCTTGAAAGGTGAGCCGGCGTCTCCACTGTCCCTCCAGCGTGTTCCCCACACTCCACTGGGCACCCAGCGACCCGAGATCGTTCGTTTCGCCGGGTTCTCAGATGGTATGAGTGGAGGAGGGGCCCCGGGCCTGGAGTTGGAATAACGATTGGCCCTCTTCCCGTGGAACGAAGAAGTAGCCTAAACAATATTTGATCTGCCTGTGAGGGCTGCGGACCCGACAGCCAGTGAAGGGCAGAGCTTCCAAAGTTAGTCATCTGTGGCCGCAGACACCAGCCTGGGAACCCGGGCCGCAGGGTCAAGTTGAAATCAGGACAACACATGGTTTAGTCATCAAGAGCAGGGCTGGGCTTCAACATCAATTGGGAGATAAACTTGGT